CCTTCCCTCCTCCCCCAACCCAAAAAAACAACAAAATGAAAGTAAAGAAAACACAACATACAGATAAGACAGACTAATTTTAGTAAGAGTTTTACAGTACTTGCAACACAGTAACGTTATATAAGCGTCGAAGGTTAGAGGAGTTACAAGAGAGTAACAAACACTAAAAATAAGGAGAAAAGATAAGGGCGGTACACGTTTGATAGGATAGAAGGGGCAAACCACAACAGGACAACCGCCAACCACCCACGGATAAAACAAACAGGGGGTTTACCTGAAATTTATGAAAATAGGAGGAGGTGAGCACGAGATTTTTCAGCTCCAGGCCCTGTTTCAGCATGGTGAGACCCCACACGGTCATACCAAGGTAGCCGGCAAAGATGAGAAGAATCAGAACCCGCATGGGATTCCACAGCACAAGTCTGAGAGAAATGGAATGATGGGCTCAAATTCAAATTGCAGGGCAAACTGTGTCATTCATAGCAGTTAAAAATGGCGTATAAAGGCCTATGGCAGCCCGTGTAATGTTAGTCTGTATGGCCCCCCGACCCCAACTTTATAAAATTCCCTAAAAACAAACAATGAGCAAAATTGTATATTTTAAATACAGAAACAGATAAACAGCCAACCCCAACTCACAGATTTTGCGAAAATATAAAAAGAATGTGCGCCAGCTGATCTAAAGACAGTGCTATAAATAGTACATGTCGTGCCCGGCAGCCATTACAGAGACGAACGACTGGCGTATATAGTATTTACACTTGATATTGTTATTATTGCTCTTCACCGCTGCAACAGGTCCGTTCCCGCGTGTGGAAGTTACTTCAACAGGTCTGCTAAAATGTTGACAAACAGGGTGCCCAAAACGTCGCGCACCATCCTGAAATACACTTATTGTTACAGATACATACAATGTACTCAAACTGAGCACCATTTTCATTAATACCGGAGGAGGCCTGTCCAGTGACCACCACGATCACCGGATCTTGCTTCACTTTTTCTTATGGGGGCATCTAAAGTCGGTTGTGTACATGAAACGTCCACGCTCTCTTAACGAATTGAGGCATGCAATCACAATTGAGTGTCACAACATCCATCCAAATACCCTTACGAAAGTTAGAAACAACTTTTAACGGAGAGTAGAGAGCTCTACTAATGAAAATGGTGCTCAATTTGAGCATCTGTAACAATATGTGTGTTTCAGAATGGTGTGCGACTTTTTGGACATCCAGTATATTTTTGTATAAAACTCAGCTCAGCTCCACCGGACAACTCATTTCACCCTGGAAGCCAGCTTCCAAGTGTGCCGCCATTAGAGAGAAGAAAAAAAAGAAAGAAAGAAAAAAAGGAAGAAAGAAAGAAAGGAAGGAATACTCAGCGAGGGCTGGCCTTCACAGACAGGGAGACCCCTGCCTCCTAAACGGACAAATTGTTATTGGAGGATTGGAGGGGACGCAAAATATTCACCATCATGTACAATAAATCAGAGATGAAGTGTGTGAAAGATGGATGCTACCCCCCAATCCCGACAGCAACAGCGGAAGAACAAGAAGGATGTGTCCAAGCGGAAGAACGAGATGGATGTGTCCAAGTTGATAGACACAGAGCGTTATATAAATTGTTTACGTGGCCCCGGCAATGGGTCAGGTGAACCAGGCGTAAGAACGTGGCCGAAATGGGGCCAGGTGAATTAGACGTAACACAGTAGCTCGCGCCTTCCCGGCTGTAATAATGCAGGCCAAACGGTAAATTGGGATTGACTATCTATCCAGCCAACAGAGGTCTGTGGTGTTGTGACAGCTTTCCGTCTGAGGGGACAGACGATTATAAAAAAAACCCTTCATGTCGTTCATTAGCCAAATGTTACATAAACACAATGACATTAGCCATGATCACGTTTTCGCTACTGGTATAAATTATTCATTTTTTCCTGGTCCTTGACCCAATTGCTGTACTAAAGATAAAGTAACAAGCGGAATGATGCCAACAATGAACTATGAAATATTGACTTTGATCTCACTTTCATCCAGGCTCTAAGACTGCAAAAATCTAGCAAGTAAAAAGTAAATTTCATTCGGATTCTCAAATCCCATGTATTGAAAGAAGGACACTCTCTCTGAGTCGAAAACGCTGTTTTTTTTAGAAATGAATTTTAAAATTTTAAAAATCCAATCGCTTTTCTAGATCCAGGAAAGGATAATTATGGTGGTGGCCAAAACTGAAAGGACTTGAGGATGCAACACAAAATAATACCTCCGGAATAAATCGTATCATTATCAGTTCACTGGTCTAGTCCAATATTCTGGGATTTTATTCTAGTCCGTTTCTGAGTTTATTTTTAGAACTTGTATTCAAGAACGGTTGCTTAGACGAGGTGTCCTCGAAATGGGAAAGGCAAAGCCTCATTCTTTTCGATCTTGTCTAGCGTTTTCTGACGTAGGCTACTCCTTCTCTCCATAAGGTTTAACCAGTTAACCATATCTTTCGCGGGTCGTTGGCGGGCGTCCTGGTGCGGTTTGCCCCTTCTTTGCTATCAAACATCTATCTTCCTCATCCCTCCTTCTTTTGGTGCGTGTTACTCGCTTGTTAAACCTCTAAGTCTAATCTCCGGCTTTTATATTACCTTAGAGTGTTGTTGGTACTGTAAAACTCCTACTACTGTAACAGTCTTCACCTTCACCTATACCGCAGACTGGATGTCCGTTGAGGCGCTTTTGAAGATTTGGCCACCAGCTTCCTACACTCCTTCCGGTCTTCAGCTTTCCTGAGCGTACGTTTGAGTTCCCGTCCTGTCCGTTCCTTGATGTTGTCCTCTCAACTCTTCTTCGGTCAGCCTCTGCTCCGTTTTTCCTGGACGCTGCCTTGATGGATCATCTTGGCAAAGCCGGATGAACGGGTGATGTGTCCGTACCATTGCAGTTTGTGTTTCCTGACCAGAGTGAGAAGGTCAGCATATGGTCCAATTTCCTTTTTGATTCGTTATTTGATCTCGGCATTCGTAAAGTGATCTTTGTGTGAGATACCAAGGATTTTCCGGAAGCATCTCATCTCCACAGCTTTGACCCTTCTTTCAAGGTCTGCATTCAAGGTCTAGGATTCACATGCATACAGAAATATTGACATGACCAGGGAACGCATCAGTCTGATCTTTGATCTGATGGCGATATTTCTGTTGTTTCAGGTGGTTTTCAACTTGGTCATTGTTGCTGAAGTTTGCGCTATTCTAGAGAGTATTTCCGGTTTTGATCCTAGGTCTGTCTCTATTGCACCCAGGCATTTGAAGCTGCGTACGGTCTCAAGCCTCTGGCTGTTGACCTGGATGTCCACTGTGAAGTCCTTGCTGCTGTTAGAAGGATTGCACCCACCTGCAATGTATAACTAAAATCTAACAAACCACATCTCTAGGCATAAGCACTAGGGAAGGGCGCTGTTATCTGCGGCGAGCTGTAACGTTTGCGATCCTTGCAAGCTGCTGTCGTTACAATGTATTTCCTTTACCTTACTCTCTCTACCCTGCTCGCAACTGTACAGTCTGCAACCTTTCTTCCTCCTGGACTGTTACAGGCGATCATCACTTCATGATGGACGAACTATTACAGGTTCCACTTCCAACGCTTCATAGGCGCCATATGACCAGTGTAACAAGTATCGTGGAAACAGATCAAAATCCAACGCTGTTTTGTCGGAGACGGACGATAGATTCAAAAACGCGCCTCGAAAATAACCTTAGATTTGAGGGGCATCTAGCCCATACCATATCATTTGTTTAAGGTGCGTGCGATGGAAAGGCTCAACTGACCTATTGACAGTATGGTGATCATTGAGAAGTAACTCCTCTCCGGCGTCTGTGGCGTAGCGGTTAGGCGCTTCGCTATCGCACTTCGATTCCCGAGTGGGGAGAAACATTTTTAGCGAGTATCTTGGTCTTTCTGCTGGAGCATTTGGATGCCTCTCTGTTCGGATTGGTACTGAAAGGTAGGGTCCAAAGCCGGCTTTCTAAATGATTTTGGTTTCTTTTCTAATTAGGTTTGGGGGGGGGGGGCATCGAAAATAAGATAACTCGTGCTTTTCCTTGCAGCATGGCATAGATAGGAGACAAAAATGTAAAGTAAACTCCTACATTATTTCAGCGTTTTCTAAACTTCTCGAGCCTTCTATGAGAAGGAATCGAAACCTTCCTCACAGACTTTGCTTTTTAATTTGTTTGTTTGTTTTTTGTCTGTTTGTTTTTGTTGTTTGTTTGTTTGTGTGTTTAAAGGCATGTCCTACTTTAAAAGCTAATAATAAAAAGAAACATTTTCCCTTCATTTTGGAGCTTCTCTTTTTCCCGTTTTTTCCCCTTTCTTAATGAAAAAGGAACAAATTACAGACCAGAACCGGAACTGTGTTATGTTCACAGAGGAAAACAAGACAAGTAACACTGCATTGGATAGTGCTGTTTTTGCTCTCAGCAATTTATCATCATCTAAAAAGTTCTAGTCTTTTTAAGAACCATAGCCTTCAACAATCACAATAATAAACCTTATTGCGTACTCGTTAGCATCTCTAGGTATAGGAATGTGTCCTCAACTGGGGTCAGCGTTGTGATGAATGGGGGAACTGCCATTAACAGGAGCGAAGCGAGAGACACTGAAACCCTTTTTTTACAGGGAGCTTATTAGTCCAGTTTTCTGAGCAGCGATTGGGACAGCAGTTATTCGAATTAATTTGGCTTATAATATCCGCAAACCATAAAATGGGGTGGAG